ATATACATATCCGTGTCAGTGTACTTGTACTTGATGATGACAAAACTTGTCCAAACGTTGTACAGTTGCTGTTATGTTAAACTTATATTAAAGTTTTTCTTCATTACCCATTCAAGCCATCTCCAAGCATTATTTCTTTTCCACAATTCTTTAATTATGAAGTTTCAACAAGTAGCAATGGTTTCAAATATTAATTATATGAATGCAAATAGTTTCATTACTTTTGATTAAGTCAAAACAGAATGTAAATAAATTAAAAATTTAAAAAAGTTTGAATCCTTCCCAGGATTTGAGCCACTAAAATCCCAGGATTCAGAAAAGGTAAAGGAACTGCAACCTTAGTTTCGAGCTAAGCCTAAAGTGGATTGAATTCAACTCATCATGGGGTTGGGGTAACTCAGTGCTAAGTTGATTAGACTAATTGCAATTGGTTTAATACTGGCCTATCATCACAATGAGTGTAGTTCAATTGCCTGCAAGCCTAACTCAAACAATATTTGAATTAAAATGCACAAAACATTTTAAATGCCCTACCCAAATTTTTGCCCTTAATTTTTCTTTCACCATTTCAGTTGTTATGACCTTATACCTGGCTGTCACAATAATAACCAGCTACAGCACATCAGTCCTAAGTTTCTCTCTTTTTTTTTTTAAACTAATATGACCATTAAAAAAAGAAAACTTTTCAATGTATTTGAAAAACTAATTTTCTTTACAATGAAACAATTTTGAAATTTGAAAAAACAGGAATTAATTTTCAGAGTAAATACATAAATACTAACATTTTGTTTTAACGTATCACTGGGTTGAGTTTTTCTGTCATAATATCATTAGTTGTAATGACACCCAATGTGATGAAATATGGTTAAATTACATGTTTAACAATGTGCATAAAGTTGTTAGTATGTAGACTTGCCTAAAAAGCAACATATTTCAAATGTAACAAATTCAGACAGTTGTTACTCCACTTCAGACTTACCTAGGTAACTCCCAGGTGTAAGATTTAATTCTGATTGTGAATAATGAGGTGCTAGTCCATAGCTATACAAACTTCCTGTGGTCAAGGACTCCAGTGAGGCTCCTGCATGTGACCTAAAGCCTTCATCCATCTCTAGGTCATCTATATTAAATTTAAATTATCACACTTCCATAAGAAGTAGCAAACTAGCTAGTTTTATAGTTATAATAGCAATGGATGATTGTTCTTAGCAAAGATAACTTAAAAAATTTGTTTTTCTCTCTTTTCACACTTTTAACATCAGCTCACTGGTGCTGGATTTCCTGTTTAATTCAGGTGTTAAGTTCTTTATGGCTAATGTTTCTTTTAACCATAGCCACTTGTCATTTTCAGCCTTTCCAATAATTTGGAATTGTTTAATTTTTACACTTGCATTCTTCTTTATGTCAGAAAATGTTTGAGAATTCTGCATACCTTGGCACACTATGTTCTTTAATTTTCTACTATCTTAATTTCAGATCATAACATTGAAAAAGGTGATTTCCTCACTTAAAGATTATGAAAACGTTTGTAATGTACATTCTTTTTAAATCCCATATAACAAGCTGATCATCATACTAATATGTTAAAATAAAAAAATCCTTTGAAAAGTTACCTTCACTTTCATCTAGACTCTGTACTTTATCAGAAATTATTCCAGATGTCGTGTTAGAAGAAAGGCTACTGATAATTGATACTGGTTGATTACTACCAGAACTTCCAGCTCTAGGATTTTTTCCTAGAATGGTCACAGAATCAGCTTTTCCCTGTTCCAAGGCTAAATCCATACTATCACTGTAGATGTACGACTCTCTGTAAGTTTTTTCCTTTTCTAAAAAAATTATAAATTTTATATTTAATTAGAAGAAAAATCTTAAAACTTGATGCAAAAATCTGATATTTTGTACACGAAAGCCTTGTAATGTTTACTGATAATCTGCAAAACTTCATGAAGCTATGCTTACTGTATTAAAAATTATAGCATGAAAACTATAACAAGCACAAAATGGTTACTAGATTGGTCCCTGGGATTGAGCCCATAGTGAAAGAGTTAATAGTTGGGCATATTATCTTGTTGACAGAGGTTTTTTTAATACACAAGCTTCTCTCATAAAGAAAAAGTCATCTCACCAGCTGCCTAGCAGATCATCTCTTTCTCAACAAGAACTTTCAAACATCAGAAAAAAATATTATCCTCTTGTTTTTATCAATAAGAGTACTTAAAAACTCTTTGACAATAAACAAAATTCTGTAATGTATTTATTGCGAATAGGCACACAAAACTTTTGTCTTTCCTTACTTTGGTGAATGATCTCTTATTTTAAGAAACCAACTTGCTAAATTTCTGAGAAGAGTTTTCCACAGATTACTCCCAAAATTATTTTCAGAAGTCCCTTTAGATTTTGTCATATTTTTGCCTATAAAGATGAAATTCCCAAGCTACTTAGATCATTAAATTGTTTAGAAATATACCTGTCCTTTAAAAATTAAATTCCCAAACCATTAAGATCACTAATTAATACATATACACTTGTCCTTTGTGTTCAAAAGGCTACATTGGCCTTACTACCCAATGTTTATATCAAAAAATTAATTAACATGCATCATTGTGTGTTACATATAGTAACTCATGAGTCCTAGCACATGAAAAATGAATATGATATTTCCATTACAAAACAAGATTAAAGAATTTTTGACATCAAGAAAATATGCTTGATGATTAATATGCAATAAACTCCATATTCCAAATGAGAGAAAAAAAAGGAGATAGCATATTGCAGTTTCTTTACCAACTTTATCATAGATTTACAAAAAATGAACTTAATGCTCACTGTGTGAAACTAATACGATGAAATTTTTTGTGCAGAATCAAAATGGCCCAGGTGGGAAAAATTTCTTCGTAACTAGAAATCTGTTGTGGTAGAATTACATCTCCCTAGCATTATGACTTGAGAGTCCACAATGATATGAAAATTATAAGTATGTTGGTATTGTGTATGTTACATAATACACAAGTAAAAATGCAGTTCTTTGCTTATTAAGACAGGTTGACTGCCAAAATCACCCACAACTCACCAAGGGAGGTGACTGCATAGCGAGTTACACTCAGACCTACCCAACCCCCCAAACATTAAGGCCCATATTAGTTCACTCCTGGCCTGTACTGTATTAATATTTTATGTCAAATTTTTGAGTCACTGCTCTTGATTCAATTCTTCCACAGATAAATCCATTTCACTGTTTCTGACCACAAACAACTGCTTATGCCCCAGTCACAAGTTTGATACACCCTTCACAGCTAATGTATGGCAGGGAAGTTTTGGAAACTGAACTTTTGGGGTTTCTGGGTCAGCAATAAAATTTTTCATGGATATTTCATCAATGTTTTTAGTCATGGGAGACTTGCATCTGCAGATCCTCAGAGGGCTCCAGGTTGCTGCCAATAGCTTCCTTAGCCCAAGTTTATCTGTCAATATGACTAAAAGTACATTTTCAGGACGTACAAAACAGGCATTCCGTTGAATAATTGCTTATATTCCATCACTGGCATAGTGGGAGCTTTTGATCAGGAGATATAACTGCCAGTCTCCATCTGTGCAAGATGACTGGAACTTGTATGCAAACCAAACTGGATAATTGAACGACATAAGTTGCAAATGTTATTAGGTTTTCTAATGGGTTTGTACTTAAAATACAGAGCCAGAAAATTCTATTAGCAGTTGTCACCCAATGAGAATGACTACTAGCCCAATTTTCCTTGCTGCAAGGGCATCAGAACAGTTTGACTGTTTGTGCTATTTCATACAAATATTTTTTGTTGGTGCTCATATCACAGAAATAAACTTTTGGCAAATCAGGAGCTGTGATAGGATGGAAATCAAGAACTTCAGGAATGTGTAATGCCATCAGAGCCTTCCCTATTAGCCTGAAAATGCATTTGGGCTAACAGTTGCACCATTAAATGTCAGAGTGGAAGTTTGTTCATGTGTAGAAGACATATCAACCATTGTTCTATTGTTTGCACTTGTATTTATATTTGTTAAATCACATCCCATTGCCAATAAATTGCCAAGTTGAATATCAATGGATGCAGAGAAGTCAATTATACTCATCTGCAGGGCTTCTGCAGTTGAAGCAGGAGGCACAATGTGACCAATGTAACTGGATCCAGGTTCTTAAACAAGAACTACTTATTCCTTCATAGATGTTGAAGGATGATACTTTCCTTCTCTTTTTTTATTGGACTTAAGTTCTATCTTACCTTCCATCATCAAAGTATAAAGCCAGCAATTAACTTTCTTCACATTCATATTTCTTTACTAGTTGCTCTTAAAATTTGTGCTTCTCATCTTACTTTGTTCTTTTCAATAACAAAAGATGCATCTTCTTTATCAATCAATCCTAGGTCTTATATAACAGCACTTGTAATAGCTGAAGCTTATCTGTTAGACAAACTTCTTCTGTCACACTCTCTAGCAAGATTTGGCAAAGGCAGTTTCATTTGAGTGTTTTCCAAAAGCTTGTGTTTCTCCACAGAATATTTCTCCTATGAATTCCTCAGAATTACATTCTTATTTCACAAATTCATCAGATGACGTCTCCAAAGAATTGTCTTTCTCAAGCATCTAGAACATTTTAAGTTTCAATTGTCTCAAAAGCTTTCTGCTTTTAAGCTAACCTTAGTGATTTTGTTGTTTTCTAATCAAGGCTGCCAATCATCATTGTCTATTTGCCTCACCAGGCTTTCATAAATTTGTGTTCTTGAGTAGGTCCTTTTCACAGTTGTAGAATTCAATATCTTGGCAATATCAAACAGAGATTTTGCATTCTCTTGAAGTTGCTTTACTCTTTCATTCTGTCACAATTTAATTTCTTTGAGAATTACTTTATGCTTCTCATGATAATTTATGATATTCCAAATGATGCTCATGTGTGATATCACAGGAATGAAAGCCCTGTGGTCTGTTTCAAACAAATTCTAATATGTTTGCAACCTTTCCAGAAATCTCCAACACTGATGGTTCATCCTTTCTTCCATCTTCTCAAGGATTATCTCTGAAGGAGATACAACTTCATAATGTTATTATTAGTGGGCAGAACACAGTCACTAAAATAAAGCATTAATTCGTTTTTGTGTACTCATTGCTTGCACCATTACAATTTAGCAAACAAATTCAGTCTTAATCTAAAAAAATAAAAGCATTATATGATTTCATTTTACTATGCACTTGTCTGTTTTAGATTTTACATTCAAGAGTAATTCTTCAGTTGGAAAGAAATTACCTTGAAATTTATATAATTTATTATAAATATATTTATATTCTCATAATTTTAATGTTTATCATAAAACAGTGTTCTGAGATGTAATTTAATCAATATTGTATTTCTATACATTTTCAATGAACTTAAATTTTGAAATTCCAAGATAGGGATATAATGAAGTGGTCAGTATATGACCTTACAAAGCCCATCAAATAATCTTTCAAATTTTTACCCAAAACTGCCATACAATGTCACTAAGGAAAGTCTGTTTGACCTTGGCCTGTTAAAATCCTAAAATTTTCTTTGTACCAAGAGAAAGTTTTCAAAGTCATAGTGGATTTTCAGAATATTAAGTCAGGACCCTTAAATGTTTACAGTTTAACTTTCTACTAAAGGCGTAACTTTTCCATCCCTGATCATTTCAAAATTCAGACTTTCAATTTTTTGATCCACTGTAATAGATGTACACAATAAGATAATTTCCTGTGATAACAGTGTTAAAGTTCACCAAAATAAGATTTTCTTATATTTTGTCTGCAAGTCTAAGTTTATAATAGTAGCAATAAATTCTGACCATCCAATGTGGTTTCTTTATTTGACCTTCTCTACTTTAGATTTTACATTCCATAATAATTATTCAATATGAAAGAAAGTAACATGAAATTAAATACTGACTGTCACCTTACTTTAAGCACTCACTCAAAACATAATGTTTGCCTTTAATAATATCCCAACTAACATTTCAGTGTTGAAGCTCAGTGAAAAAGTAGCATTTAATGCATAATAACACACAGAGTTTATTTCTTTTAGTAATTTCACATATATAATTTTGTTGACCACTTAATATTTACACAAAATAAAATACTGACCATCAAGGTTTAATTTTTTCAATTCTTGTAACTTAGGCTGTATCACCATGTTAAACTGGTGGGTTAACTTGCTCAGGAAGAGAATATTTCTGGTCACTTCTTCAGTGCTACCATAGTACATAAACTTTCTACTTTTGTGTTGTCCAGCTGTCCTAATTTCAAACTTCCTTTTCTGAAAGAAAAAAAAAAGGTGCTTTATAGTTACATACAGTTTATAGAATTTATACAGGGTGATGCAAAAGCTGTGCACTATCATGATTTCTCCAAGTCCTGCCCTTCCAGCTGTTTGAAAATTGCCCCATTGCTACCACAAAGGGATCACTTCTACATTCTTTTGAAAGGTTGATGACATCTCAATCCATCATTTCAACAAAAGAAAGAAACAGGTAGTGGAACACAAATATGACTTGGAACATTCACAGAAGGGGTAGGCCTTAAAAATAGCATGGTGATTCATAACTATTGAATAACCCTATGTATCTTAACTCTTAGATTTCTTCTCTTGGACATGCCTATAGCATACATAAAAAAAAAAAAATTAACAAATTTTTGTGTATAACACTATAATGAAGAACCACTAAGGTACAGGTCATATTCAGTATTAATCTTTACAGTATATCACACATCAATCTAAGATACTTAAAACATTTTTTCAAATTCCTAAGTGATTTTGAGTGATGGTTATATTTCATACAAAACAGTCAAAAACTAAAAAGATTTCACTTTTTTTTTTCAGAGGTTGAATGCACAATGAGTATTATAAGTCTATGGTCCAAATGCTTAATTTTATACTTACATCAAAATGAAGTTTAATTATTTCTGGCCACAGGAAGGTGGAGAGATGTCTTTTAGTAATACCAAGACTTTCCTTGAAAAATATCAAAATCACAGTAAAAAATTTTGAAACAAATTCAACAAATATCTAGTTGTGCCAAGAGTAGATCTTTGACTTCTAAAACTGTATGTCAAGGACCTTGTATTACAAACTATTTAACTTTTAAGACGTTTGCTAAATATTTCTACTTTGTTAGGGAAAAGAAAAGCATGAATAACCAATAACCAATCCTGAATAACTAATTCCAATCCTGAAGTTTTATGTTATCTGGTTTCAATTTCTTTGAGAAGTATTAAAACAATTATTTGCTTTTAATTTGGGCATTGTAGTTTCATCAGTTAATTACTAATGCTACATTTTAACCTACTCAGAACTTGCTTTACTTGTTCACTTTCTATTTAGTGTTAGTTTATGCAGCAAAATGTGCATATTGATTTATGTCTAGCACTTAACATTATATGATGGTGATGATATACAAATTATCATGATCCTTGCCAACTTGTTAATTTTTTTAAATGATGACAAGTGAGCTGGAACTAAAGGAAATGCTACTGCTGTAAAAAACAAGTTTATAGACATGAGCACACCCAGTTTTCCCTACTATATGTACTCTCTATCTGGAGATGTATCTACACCGGTCTAGTGATGGATGTAAGTCATAAATACATGTGATCATTGTGATGTTTCATTTTCCAAGAATTAACAATAAATTAAAAATGGCATTGGGAATTTACTTCGAGCAACATGTTTGTTGAATAATTACAAAAAATGTCACAAGTGGAAATCAATTTTTAAATATCTTTGATCACTGGTTCCAAACTTTCTTGCATCAGGGACTAGCATAATCACATATGCAATTTTTGCAAACCATTAACTATACAAAAACACATGAAACACAATAAAACCAAAGGATTTGACTTCAACTAAATTTACTAATTTTGCAACTTAAAAAATAATATATATTGTTCATTTTCATAGAATGGTTAAAGTTTAACAACATACCAACGATTGGGAACCACAATGTCAAAACTTACCCAAGATAACTTAATTTAAGATAAAATGACCTTTAATAGACTGCAAAAAAACTACAGATAATGCCAAAAAGCTTTAAAAGGAGAATTAATATCTATTGAAAACATAATTCTTGGCATTATATATTTTGTACTTTTATCAGTAGTAACAATTTGTAGGTAATAAACCATTTAATGAAAAAATCTGATACTGTCTATACATATTTTCATGAAAATCATCAGCTAGATCTATTCCTAATAAAAATATTTGATGCAGAAGTATTGGGTGATAAATGTAATGATGTGTAAAATTATTACTGTAGGGTTTTGCTCAGTTTATGTTATCAAATAAGTGAAAAAATATGTGTTTAATCCTAAATAAACATCTTTTCTCAAACAACTGGTGTTTTTGGTTTTTTTGGAAACATTCAATAATATGTACAATTCCTGGAAACTGGTGTTTCAGCATGTTTTCTTTATCTTAACATCCCTAGGTCTTTACTTTTTGTACATAAATTTATAAAGCTATTTATTTATTTTATCAATAAACACATGCAGAATCAGAACCTACTTTGGCTCAATGTGTAAATACCTTAAAGAGATTCTAGTAAGACAGGACAACAGCAGTAGTTTAATAACTTAATGTAAAAACATATATTAATGTCATTCTTGTATGATTTCTTACTGTACACAATATATGTATAACAACAACTTTAATTCTAAAACTTTTGGGTGCATTTATTTGATGGTTTGTTTAACTGCATTGCAAAAAACTACTGGATGAAATTGTTTCAAATTTGAAGTAAACTTTCTATAGATTATGTAGCTTCAGCATATATCTTATTTTTGTGTGTCACATTAGCATGAATTCTCAAAATGATATTTTTTCTTAAGAAGCAATTAAAAATGCCTACCTTTACTGTAGATTTCAATTATTAATTTTAATGTCTTCATACACTGTTTTAAATTTTAAAGTTTATATTTTGTAAAAACATAAATTTTGTTTTGATTTCAAAAACAATGCATCCAGTTTCACTGAAATATAATAAATTTAGCTTTTTATCATACCATAATTACAAACAAGCATACTTTAAAATTATTAATCAGAAGTTTCATTTAGTAAAGATAATAACTTTTAAACATATTTCATATATATACACCTGGAAAAAAGTTAAGCACCCCCGTGTTTTTTTCAAGTGGTTCAG